CTCAACTATGCAATCAGTAGATGGAAATTTGACTGGCCTAGCCTCTAAGGCTTCTATAACAAGCTTTTTCACTTTTTGTAAATTTTATTCCGAGTATTGATATTCTTAGTGTTGAAGAAGCCCGAATGGGCGAAACGTCCACTTGAATTAAAGACCTCCTACGAGAAAAGTTCGCATCTTCTTCTGTTTATTCAACCTATAATTATTTAAAGAAGAAGCGTTCTGTATCCACTGGATCCTTTTCTCCAAGGCATCATCGTTGGCAAACCAACATCGTTTACACATCTATATATATCAATCCTCTATCATATCTCAGATTCTTGACCTTATTTATTGAATGGTTACGACTGTTACTTGAAGAAAACCAGCAATTCAATTTAAACTGGGTAATTATTAGTTCAACTGCGCATCCTAACTTTCCGCACACCACTTTCACCTCCGTTTGCCGTAGCATGTTAAGCCATCGAAAAGTTTAAAGCTATACCCGACCAGACCGATCCAACGCGCTAACCATTTGACTACGGCGCCCTTCAAAACTGCACGCAAGCAAGATGTCTCAGTCAGGGTCCTCAATTAACATCTTTCTTACACTTCTAAGAAACTGAACATAATTATACCATCACTGTTTTCTGCCTTTAATTAGCAAAAAAAGTTAGTTCTTCTTTCGTATTTCAGAATGAAGCACCTGGAATACATTTCTGTGCCTATTGTAGTCTCTTAAATGAACACATTTCTTGTAAACCTCCAGTTTGAGTTGATATTTCGTTTTAGGTCCTGCTTTTAATATCAACTTCCTGAAACTACAGATGAACCTGTCTTTAGCGGCTTTCGAGTGAAACACAGTCTGTCCAAGCTCAAGCTGTAAGAGGCGGATCCAGGGGAGGGGTTATGGGGTGTGACCAACATTTTTTTGGCATTTCTTGGCTCTTTATAGACTTCATAAACAAAACAGAATAAAATTATTTTGTACGTAGTTGTTTAAATTCCACCAATTGTCTGATACTCAAATTAGGAAAAGATAGTACACTTTTCACATCTGCATTATTATTTTTGTTTTTCTGCGTGAGAAGTAAGATAAACTCCAGATTTTATTTCATGCCCTCACGAACGCTTTTCAAGTGTCAGGAATGCTGGGAATGATGTTTTAGAGGGTAAAACAGGAACTATTTTCAGGGGAGGCATGCGCATGACCCCGGACCCACTTAGAAGCTCGCGTGTGCGGCGCTCGCCGTTGCTGATTTCCGTTTCGTAAACGATCGATGCCATTTTTAACGGTCGATACCATCATTGGTAACCAAGCCTTTCAGAATGGACGATGCCTTATCTGCTTTAGTATAAGCCTGGACAAGGTGAAACTGGTTTTAATTTGTTGATTGAGTAAAACACACTCGTCAAATGCTTGATTGTTCATATTCACACTGGTTTACTTGCGGTTAGCTTTTATTTGATGGTTGGGGTAACTCTATCATTAATTAAAGAAAGTCACGTTTTATAATTAAATTTTGCGGAGATTTGGCGCATCAACCTGGTAGTGTAGTGATACAAGAGGGATGTTAGAAAACAGAGGTTTCGGGTTCGATACTGGGTGTTTACTTACAAATTTTCTTTTTAATTTAATTTCGTAGAGAAAAATTCGTTGATAGTTAAGAAATTTCTAAGTCTCGCGAAATTGGCATCGACTGCCTCGCCGTTCACTCTGATGGGGTCGAAAGTTATTGAGGTGCACACCCCACCCCTTTCAGGATTCCTGGATCCGTCCCTGGATAATCATCTTGCGAAAGAGCGGTCACAGCAAATTTAATATGGCTTTGGAAGCAGAAATATTAGAAAGCTATTAATAAAAATACCTTGATTTTTTTCCCACTGTGTAATACTTATTGTGCATGCATTTAATTACCTTATGCGTAGTTTTTGTCGTCTTTTTAGCGTATTGTTAGAAAAACGGAAGAATTTACCTTTTTTTTTCCCATGGCAAACGCAAGTCATTTTAGTGTTATTTTGTTTTTCGTAACAAAATCTCAGTCTCAGGTAAATTTCGCCAATCATAGACTCGATCAAGCAAGTAAATTTTGTCACCTACATTTGATACTCTGCATCTTCTCCTCCTTGGTTAATTTTTTTTGTGCAAACAAGCGCAGAAGACAACAGCCACTCTTCTAATCTCAGAATTTTCTTAATTTTCTACGCTGAGGACAGAGCCACCTTTTATGGAAACACCACCCTTGGCCACGCCCTCTATACTAATTAATGAGCTCCAGATTTCTATCGCGTGATAGTTGTCGAGGGCGTAGCCCGAGTCAACTATCACGCATAGAAATCGAGAGCGAATAATCCAATTGTTTTAGTAGAAATCCACGCCGTTCAAAACTTTAATCTAAATCCATCTCTTCAAAGACACTTCGGAAACACAAAGAAGCGGCCCCCGCCGCACACTGCTAGGCTACTCACTGTCTTCAACAGAATAAATGGTGAGTAGCGTAGCCAATCAGAGAACGGCATTCGTGATAGAACGCTAATGTAATCTATGAACTCCATAATCTACTCAGCGGTCAATTTCTGTACTCTGGTGCATTTCAACATCCCTCAGTGAGGTTACTTTGAAAGACCTTCATCCTTCGTAGGGAACAGTTTGGTCTTAATTAGGGCTGTAGTTATAGAAGTCATCTCCACGATTGGTCCGAAATTGAATATGCTTATGAAGGGAACAACAGTACTGTGAAAGTGGTTTGGAAGCAAAGAAATTTTGATTCAGAAGCCCAGATAAAGAACAATTACACAATTGTGATAACAGCGCATTTTACGGCCAGCTTTCACAAACATAAGTAACATAAGCAGACACGCGCTGTAAGATGCTGATAATTAGCGCCTTTTGTAAGGAGCCTTTTCTCAAATTGTACTGCGTCTGTAGCCTTCAACATTTTAAAAAGAATCACTAATTTTAAGACGTGACTATGTTGCCAACTTGGGATTACCCGCTGTGTCCCGCAAGAACTGTGGTGTTCTTTATGCCATGTAATAAATCCTGTGTCGACCAACAACATGGTCAGTTATTGGCCTCTTTTTCTGTCGTTTACGTGATTATGGGACTCAGACTGTTTCTAGGTCCATTACCACGCACAAAAGCCAATATCTAGGCATGCTGACCTCACGGTCGGTCAATAACCTATTGTACATTGCTACCTTAAGGTCAACAAGTCATTACTATAAACCATTTTGAAACGTTTCATGGGCCATTTTAATTTTTTTTTTGGAATAAACATAACCAGTACAAATCGTATGTATAAGTTTAGACTGGGAGTTCTAAAGTTGTGATGGAATACAAGTAAAAAACTTGAAGATCGTCTGCATCACAACTGTTTCCTCATTAATTAGGTTTATATGCACTATATAAGTAAAAAGAATGTTGAAATGCAGTAAGAAGCCGTAACTCATAGTTTGGATTTTCTCTGCATAAACGTCATAATAGCCTGCATGCATTCTTCCGATAACCAGCGTTCTTCCAGCAAAGCAGCCTCCTTTTCGTTGGCGTCATGTAGCATATCACGGAATGTGTCACGTACTAACTGCTTGGACAATCGCAAAGACTGAAAAGTCAACAGCACAAAAACAATAGATCAGTTTTAACACACAAATATTATTCAATAGTTGATTTCTCAAGATAAAACCGTTTAAACTGTTTGTGCTTCACAGTTTGGAATGAGAGGGACGAGTGGTGACATTATTACTCAAAATAAACTTGTCTAGTCTGAATAAGAAACTTGATTTGTGACATTAAGTATAAATCATCCTCTTATAGTGGAGTGTGCAATACTGTGAAATTGGAGAGCTTCATAGTCAATTCATTACTTGGACTCATCAAATGTAGCTCGCAATCAAACTTTTTCTGAGTTTCTAGCAAAGTATAAAGTTTCTACTTTATTCTGAAGCTCACAATCCTTCCTCTGATGCCTTGAACAGTAGATAATCCCCAAGGCCTATACATTGGGTGTTACAGTACTTCCTTGATATGGTTAGCCACCCTCCTCTCTTCCCTTCCCTCTCATCCACCAAATGAGAGGACAAAATGCCCCTTACTAGTGTTACAGAAGTCCCAATTTACTTACCAAGTCCAAATCCAACACAAAAATAAGTCCAGGAATTTTTCTCTAACAGTACATGCTCTAATTGGCTATTTCTGGGTCATGTGACATTTAAAAATAAAACTGTTTCCCTCGAAAAGTCTGAGTGGGCAACATTGCCAAATCTATGACATCATTGGGTAACAATACACTGTTACCTATGAATGTTGACCCACAACTGCCCTTGCACATGAATTCTTTTAAATCCTATGATGCTATATAACAGATCATCTAATGACTGGTCCCTTGGGAAACCCGCTCGTTTCCCAAGAATCTCGGGAAAAAAATTCATGTTTCCCTCAGGAACAGTCATTAATTGTTTAATGATATATATATAAGCAGGATGCCAAACAAATGTTGAACTGCATATCAAACAGATCTTCTCTAAAGACGATGATTACCTTGGGTGGAAGCTTAGCCATTGCCTGTACTCTGTTTTGAACTTCCTCCATGAGCTTGTTGTGAGGGAAAACAGCGGTAACTAGACCACAGTCATGTGCTTCAACTGCTGTTAGTTTGCGTCCTGCAAAAAGCATCTCACTGGCCTAAGGAAAGACTCCACAGTCAGGTGAACAATCTAAAATTGGGTGCTACTTGGTGAAGCAGACACCATTGTTAATTAGCAATAACTGTTATGTACTGCCGTGGAAATTCTTCATAGTCTTTTGAATTTTTGTTTTATATTACTTAAGAAACTAAATTGAATTCCAAAAAGAAGTTAACTAAAGGAGAACTGTGCTACTGTCAAACACTAGTGGCTCCAGAACACACAGAACCAGGGATAGGAAATATGGTTTTAAATTCTGAAACAACGCAGGGCAAGTGAGTTTTTTAACAAAGCATTGAACTTTCCTCAGCCCAATCGGCATAAATTAGAGACTTGATTTACTGCATGATAATGAGGGTAAATGTGAACCGATTTAAAACCTAAAGAGGAACAGTTATCATTAGGTCACCAGTGAGATAAGATTGGGATTCAGGAGTTATCAAGCACAGTTTGGAGCAAATAACATGTATAGCTACATCACAGAGAAAATAAAATTTAAGTTACATGTCTTTTGAAGTTCTGTGTTCTACAGGGACACCTAAAAAGATTTACATGTAACTCGACCATTTACAGTGGTTTTAATGGGATGAAAAATTCAGTACCTTAGCAGGTCCCATTATCCTAGGGAACATAAATGAGGAACATCCTTCAGGGCTCTGTCCCAGCTCCATAAACGGGGTGTGAAATGTAGCTTTGTCTGAGGCATAGACCATATCAAACAGACACATAATTGTTACTGATATTCCCACTGCAGGTCCATTTACTGCAGCAATCAGAGGCTTAGGGAAGTCTATGAAGTGTGCTACAAACTTCCTGTCAGGAAAGCAATGCATGGAAATTACAATGTCAAATAACCTTTGTAATTAATTCTTGCCTTCACAAAACTTACATGTTATATTGTTAGTAATAGATTCCAGGGAGAATTTATGGTCATTTCTGTCTCATAAGCAAACCCACTTTCACTCCTCCATCTCCTCATGCTTAGCAAATGCATACTGGAAGCATTTTAGGTCACAGAAACAAGAAGATTTCAAAGGTTTATTGAAGAGTTTAAAGCAGTCGCAATCAAGCTGTTGATTACAACATTTTGTGATTGATCATCTGTTAAAATACATCATCTGTTCAAAAAATGAAGCCTACACTGTCCTTCAGTTTATGTAATTGTATGTACAAATCATATACGTCTGCTCATTGTAAAAGACAAGTCCACTGCTATGCTTTTTATGGCAAGTAAAAAGTGCATTTTCTAAGTCCATTGCAGATTACATCCAAGATTTTTGTCATGTTTTCCCATCAATTTGCACTACCAAATACATCTACACACCTTGGTGGAGAGAAGTATTGTGAGAGTAAAGTATCTTTCCTAAGAACACAGCACAACAACCATGGCCAGCCAGGTAGAGTAAAGAGCTCTCAAACTGGAATTTACTTCACAAACTTTTAGGCCACCAAGCCTGAGCCATGCATTTACCCAGACATGCAATATCACCCAGTGAGTTTGGTTAACTGAAAAAACCAGTCATGACACTTACTTTAAGATTTGCCTTGCGTCACTAGCCATCTTTTGTGGTCCCTCTGGTGGAATCCTTGTAAAGTTGCTCAGGTCATTGCCACTGCAATAATAATCGCCTGTTCCAGTTACCATGGCAACAACACAAGCATCATTTTTCCCAGCTTCATCCAATGCAGTCATAAATTCATGGTACATCTGACAAAACAAGTGGTCAGAAACATTAAGATTATTTGTCATACTTGGAGCTTTCCAGAAGATTTGCTCCCCAATTGCAGAACCCATCAGAGGGCAATATCAGAGGCCCACTACCAATAACAACGTCCTCTAATTTCCTTTTATTTGCTTGTACAAGGAAAGAAGAAGGAATGCCTCTCTCATAACCTTTCCAAATGAGCAAGTTATTCACCATTTAACAACCCATTTTTGGATCATGCATACCAAAGGCATCCACAGTTTAGTGTCAATCAATACCCTCTATCAATACCTTTGATCGACATCTTAATTGATACTCAATTGACACCCTGATCGCTACTCAGTCAACACTTGATCAACAGTTGGTCGATAGTCGGCTGACTGTCAACTGACTCATATGCATCAATCGAAAGTTAGTCAACTCTCAACCTACTGTTGACCGAGATGTCAATTGAGTGTCAACCAAGGCGTTGATGGAGTTTCAATTGAGTATCAATTGAGTGTTGATCGAGGACATCAGTCAAGTATCAATCGACATTCGACCGTGGATTCCTTCATTACACATGATCCCCATCTTCTATGTGACATGACCTCCTCCTATCAGTCCTTTTCTGAACAGTTTTTAAACTTGCGTGCTATTCAAGACTCAGAACAAAGTAACACAACCTTTTGTTCGTCTGGCAATCTTTGACACCCTACTAAAATACTGGCTGAAACTGGTACCATTGTTCATTTTAATACAATGTAAATTAGTTCTGTATGCTGTATAATTAATCACGCACAGGCTATTTAAAATCAGTTTGAAATTCTTAAAGTGACATGTTATAACTCATAATTATTCTTTACTATCAATAATCAATTAAGGACATAATATGCTGTACCTCCCAGGTTATTGCATTATATTTTGTTGGCCTATTCATTCGTATTGTCTGCACTCCATTTTCTAACGTCACAACCAGTTCCTTGTATTTACTTCCCGCATCAGTTGCTGGGATATCACCTGAAGTTGAAGTCTTGGATGCTTCATCGGTACTGCCAAATTCAGCTGCGAATGGTTTCAAACAAAATATTTTAGAAACTAACACTGTTACTACTAAGAAACAGATCGTCAAAAAGGCATTTGTATACCTTCCAGGTCTTTGACATAATCTATGTACTTCTGTTGTGCATCATCCTGAAAAGATAAATTCAGAGTAATGTTCTCATATATGCTATGAGACTAGGGATGATCCTATCAATAGCAATATGAGGCCTCAAACAGAAAATGAATGGCTTAAAATTTTATATATTTCATAGGGGAAAATATGGGAAACGCTTGGTTTGAGCTATAAAAACAAGTCCTGCAATAACTTTCAGCACAAAAGATAAAGAATGAGACTTTTTGCTCAAATTCAACTGTGTAAACAGTTTTTGTAATACTCTTTTTACACCTACTTTCAGTGTTATGTGGATAGGCGACCTTTTTTGACATGCAATCTTTCGACATGCTATGTAACTTGGCCTATGTGAAAAATGTAAGCACGACAGACTTCTTTACGGTCAAACTTGACTTTTAGTGATGAAAGATGGATTTATTTGACATCAGAATAAGGCTAATCAAGAAGTCATTCAAAGAGAGATAAATTGACTGCTTTGAATGTTTACATCTTTCAAATATTAAAGAAAGGCAGTGGCCCAATTCTACCGGATGTCCCCTGAGAGCCGATCAACTACACTCAAATCATTTGATTTATGGGCCTTAGATCGGGAAAAATGCAAAATCCACAATCTTCAACAGCCATTTGATGTTAGTAATTATAATTTATTATTTTGCATATTTCTCCCCTTAATAACCGGAAAACTTGCCATTTGCATAGTTAAACAGTCTTTCAGCTGTTTACATAGCATGTCAAAAGATGGTCAAAACATGTTGCCTATGCATGCAACACTGAAAGTGAGCGTAAGACCAACCTTTGAAAGATCACCTAGATCATTCCAAGCTGACCACTTCGCTTTTCCAACAAAGTCAAATGCTCCAGGCTTAGGGGAATTGCACTTTCCAATACTACCCTATGGATAAACAAACAGACAATGTACTGAAGCCCTGTTCATTCCATGATGGCCAGTAAAATAATGACAAATAGCATGCCTTGTGTTATCAATATTCTAACAGCGATGCAGGGACCTTCTTCAAAGTGTTACTTGAAATTCAGACAAGAGATAAAACATGCATAACCACCTCTGTAAATACCATCAAACCTCTTCTAAGGAGAAACTCATGGATACAGAATAATTATATGGGTACACTTTTGAGAGATCTTTTAGTGTTAGGTCAAGGAAGAGGGAAGGGGAGGAGAGAGGAAAAGGGAGAGAAGATCAGGGCAGGTCTAATATAAAAGTGAATGTACAGAAGTTTCAGAAAACCTGTAGACGTTACCAGAACGTCCATCTAGTTGAGTCTCAATGATTCATTACACAGCCAGGCCAAGTAACAACTCAGGAAAAACATTTAATTCTTGACATCCAGTTCCAGGTTACTTTCGACATCTGAAAGCCAGCTTTACATGACTGGCTGAAATTTCACTAACAAACAAAGACCTGGGGAATTTGTGAAGGTGCACAGATGAAAACAGTTGGCTGGGCATGTTAATGAGCCAGCTTAAGTGTCTTTTAACTACATCCCATGGTAACTGGTTGTTCAGGCCCCAAGTCGATTAGTCCCTTAAAACCATTTACCCCCCAACCAGAAGTCAATTACAGTCCCCAAAAAGAAGTTGAAAAGTGTCTATTTCTCGTTCTTAATCGTGAAAATAGGGGCTACATAATATGCATAGTGACTCTTGCTGTTAAAAGAGATTAAGAATGTCGTTTACAGCAATCAGCAAAATGAAACTTTTGATGCAATTTCTTCTGTTTGCCACAAATGTCATTCTTTAGTCAGCATCACCGTCACTACCACATACAGATACAGGGGGTCCCTCCATCTTTGACCCATCCCCACCTTCGCCTCCAACGTCACCACGACCTTGTAACAAGAAGTTATGAATTCTAAAATTGTTCAGGTTTTTGTATTCCGTGACACATCACGCAGAATACAAAAAATGACCTGGAAGAATTTGCAGTATTCAACTGTAAAACGTATGAGTAACTTAATTTTATACCTTTATAGATTAATAAAGTGAGAGGCATCGACAATATAATATTAAGCTAACCTGTTTGAACAAGGCGTACAACTTTAGTTTGTGCTCATTTCCTGGGTCCTGCTTGAGGGTCTTTGACCTTTCACTTGCAGCCTGAAATTCTTTTTCAAGATTTCCCAGATTCATGCTTCCTGTGTGTATGGGTCTCAATGATGAAAAACAGAACGAAGGCTGTCGAAATAACAACTTTTGGAGGCCACGCAAACGGCTCGCCGCCATATTGTACCGAGAACACCAGGAGACATACTAACATGAACGAATTGTCAATAAATGAGAAGCCGCTGACAAATCTTCCTGAGACGAGAGCGACAACCATTTGGTCACGAAATGTCAATATATCTTCTATTTTGATGCTGGTTTCAATAGCTGTACTACAGCTATGAAGCTTTTTGACGCTGGGAACAGCATTGGACATTTCCTAAGACGTATTCTGTGGGAAACGTAACCAGAAACGAGAAAATCTGGCGCAAAAATGATGCGCTTCCACGATCGACACGGAACCCATGTCAAACTTTCACCATCAAAAACATCTGCGACGAGATTCAAAAGCTTTGCTAATGCGGTAGTTTTCAGTCATCGCCCTTTAGCATTCGGTGAGACATTCCTTTTTGAAATCGAAGAGCAGGAAAAAGACTGGTCGGGCCATGTCCGCTGCGGAATAACAACACACAACCCACAAACGATTAAAAGCGTTCCGCCGTATTTACTGCCAGACATGGCTCAAATGGGAAGAACTTGGGTGTTTGCGATCAAGTCCACCATGCAAAAACCATTAGGTGACGAACATTTTAGGGACTACGGGAGTCACAATTATCAACGGCAAGCAGCAGGAGATAAAGATAATAATCCCATGTTTTGTGGTAAAAAAGCACAAGAGGGAGAACTTAAACCCACTGATGTCGGGTCGCGTATAGGAGTTAAAGTCAGCCCCACTGGAGAATTGTATTTCTTCGTTAATGGCATGAAATTCGGTCCCTGTGCTCTGGATGTTCCTGTCGACAAGGATCTCTTTGTGGCTGTCGATGTTTATGGAACAACAAAACGGGTGCAAATCATACAATGTGGAGGTATACAACTTTTTCTATGAAATTAAGCGGCCCCAGGGTAGGGTAGGTGAGGCCCGGGGGAGGTTTCTCACTTATTTGGACTATATAGGTAGGTTTGTGCGACCCGAAAGGGTGTGGTTTTGTAGCCATTTTGGTTTCAAATAGGGTATGGTCTTTGCACTCTACATCTTGAATTGGGTGTACACGTTTTTTAGATGAAGCTACTTTTTCATCATTATTGGTAAGATTATTAACAAAGGCCCTTCACAAAGCCGTTAACATTGGTCTAATTATAAGGCAGGTCTGAAATAGGGTATTGATTTAAGGGTCAGGTCTTAAATAGGGTGTCAAATTCTTGGTCAGGTCGTAAATAGGGTAGGGAAAAGATTTTGGTCTTAAATAGGGTGAGGGTTTTGGTAAGCGTGTTGCAGACCCCCATCCAATTTTCCTGGGAGTACCCCCTGGGAGGCGAGGCCCGAGCTTGAGGGTGGGTTGGTGTTAGGAAGGAGTGAGGTAGTCTTAGCAGTGAGTAGAGTTGGCTATTCAAACTGAAAACTGCAATTTTGAGAGCAAAAATTAAATTAAACTTTGGAATAAGGTTATTTACTGTTTTTGATTGCTGTATTCAGTCCCAGAGGAATTAAAAATGCCTACAATTTACTTATCTTGTTCAACTTATTGAAATATAAATGATTGCTATACCCCTTTATTATCCAACTGCAGCGAATAACTTCCAAATAACAGTACAAATATACAGCGATATTGTACAGTTATTTGTACAGTAGAAAACCTGCTTGCCGTACAGGTTGGCATGCACACGCAAAACTGTCACACTCTCCCTCTTTCATTGCTAAATTTTTTGACTACAGCAGTTGGATAATAAATCTCTTATTAGATGTTTTGATGTGTGTAGTATCCTTTATATTTTTACTCGTTGTTTGTATTTTGACTCGTAAAAATATGCAGCGATACTACACACCAAAACATCTAATAAGATATGTTTATACCTCAGACAAAATATTTCAACCAGGAAAGGCAAGTGGAAAATATAAGAAGCTAGTGCTAAATTACACTCATTAAAATGCGTGTACAAAGATGGAAGGTAAAAACTTATGCACCTCACCCTATGGCTGTATTGCACTGTCATGCCAATAAAAATAAAAATCGTAACCATTCAATACATATAAGTCAAGAAGCTGGGATATGACAGATGATTGATGTATCAATGTTACGAGTATCGTTGTAGAGCAGGGTTGTTTCCAGACAGAACTCAGGATCGCCGGTCACAGCAACAAACTAATTTATTTCTGTAAGATAACTTCACGAATTTACAGCACTAAGCTTCTTCAAATTTGAATCAATCTCTCTTGCAGAAGAAACTCTCGCCCTAATATACGTGAGGCTTATAGTTCTAGAAACTTCTATTAGGAGCTAAATTAAGTAGTTTGACACAGTTTCTAATCTGAGTAATTAAGGATCAGAATGTTCTGGAATGTTCTTATACAAATTGGTCACGGCTGAATGACTTCCGGTTCCAGATTGTTCTAGAACTAGACTTAGACAATTTTTCGTAACAATCAACAAGCTTGCCAGGATTTAGGTCTGTGCAGTTATTCATTCACACATTATTTGGAAAAGTGTTTCACCCAAATTTATAGAGCTTTGTATGGAGACGCCATGTTGGTGCCCTTCAGAGGGGCACCAACATTGCGGCTGTAAAGTAACAGATACGTCTGTCATTGAGTTTAACCATCAAAATGAAAAATTATTACTCTAAAATTCCGACATGTAGAAATTAATACTTCTTCTGGAGCAAGAACTGTTTAGTTACAGTAGCAAAAACTTCAGCAATAACTCATCTTTCAACCTACTTGAGAGCTTTATCGGGCCGCCATTTTAATATCACGCAATGCATAAACTTGGAAATTCAAATGTGCTCTATTATCAATGAGAAATCCTGTTGAGCTTTAACATTGCAAAATGTCAAGTTATTAGAGAGCCTTACATCTGATTAAACTAAAACTTCAGAAGTAATCATGGTAATGTTTAATTTGGGAAAATGATGACGTCACATGAAAACCGGCAATATACAGTACGTAAACTTATGTGTACTTTGCCCACCCAACTATATCATGTGACATTCCTCAGAAGTCACAATGGGGAAAATAATATTAATTACAGACTTCTGTGACTTGACAACATAATAACTACTCAATCTTTACTTGACTTTTCTGTTTCTTTAGTTCCCTCACTTCTTGACTTGTGCTGTGAAAACATCAAGAAACTTGTGGCAAAGCAAACTGATATGGAACTTCTTCCCATAACAATGCAGCTTAAAAAGTACATCGCTGCATTTTAACAAGAAAGAACTAGAACAGATAAAATAATAGTTATGCTAAATTATGACTTACTTTAGATTTCAACTATGAAGCTTACTGCTGTAAAAACCCCTGTCTATTAAGAACCTAAAATTTTAGAACCTGTTGGGCTCAAATTTCCCAGTCACATAATAACCATTCTAGGCAAAAATCTCAATACAGGTTCTTATTTTCAAAGTTTAGAGTTTTTTCAAATAAATACAGTATATCACATGCAATACAGCAAAAAGGTAACAAAACCTACCCAGAACACTGGCCGTTTTATAAGACCACAATACTGTACTGCGAATGATTCAATATAAAGACCACATGCATGAGTACAAGTTTGTTTTTAAACAAAAATTAAGAACCTGATTAAGAACCAAGGTAGCCTAATTTCATTGTAAACACCATTTATATATTAAGGACCTATGGAAGCTAACTTGAAAAAAACCTAGGTTCTTATACATGGGTTTTTACTATGTTTTAACCTAAACAAAGAAAGGACACAAGTATGTTCTTGACGTTGATAAAACGGTGAAAGTCTTCGCACTACAAGTTGTATTTTATTTTTATGTTAAATGGAATCCATATGCAGTAGAACAGCATGCCAGACAGCAGGTTGTATTTATGGAGAAAAATCAAATAAGGAAAACTTTAGTTTCTAAAGAAACTGGTCACAAGAACATATTAGGTAGTTTGAAAGATGAAGTATGTAACTGTAGTTTTATCTATTACAAAGCTTTGTAAATATATACAAAACAACTACAAACAGCAGCATCACTGTCTTTTTGCACTTAATTAGACATTGATTGACATCAAACATTACAATATTGCTAACTAAAGCTTTTCCTTTCAGTAACAAGACCTACATCTACATTGTAAACAGACAAATCTCTTTTTCAGTTGCTGTAGCAAATTAAGGTTCAATATTTGCTGAAACAGCTACAAAATCTGATAAAAAGGAATGAAAAGTCCTGCTATATTTTAATATGTATATAGGTCGTTTCCTCAAAGGAAATTAAAGAGTAGTAAATAGTTAGGTTTCTTCACAAAATCTAAGCTAAGTGACATTTGTTGGGACACTCTGTGGACTTATTTAACTGAACACTGGAAAAGAGAGCCTCATATACATGTAATACATGTCCCAACAAAATATCTGAGATTATTGTTAGTAGCTGGTGTGTGTGTATTACATTATAACAATTTTAGTGCTACAGATGAGTTGATATAGAATGGAGTGGTGATCTGTAGAGTAAATAAACTGTACATCACTGATTCTAGAGTGTATGAAAGAAATTAACTTCTCAAACTCATTAATAATTGATCAAGTTAAAACAAAGAAAATCACAACTGTGATACAGGTTTGGATACCTGGTCTTAATTAGCATAGATTTGACGATTTTACTTCTCCGTTTACTCCTCCACCATTTGAGGCGCAACGACAATGGTCGTTTGTTGGAAAGACCAAGTGTGAAAGCCAAGAAAACATTGGGAGACAGAGCTTTCCAGGTAGCTGCTCCTTTCGTATGGAATAAGCTGCCAAGGTCCGCACGCGAAGCAACGAACTTAGAATCTTTTAAGACTTTAATTAAGACATTTTTATTTAAGTAATCATTTCAGTTATCTTAGCATATCTATATCTTTATTTGTAATTATCTTTTACCCATTTAATGTAAATATTATTTTTTTTTTTAATGATTTTGATAGAAAGATTTGTAAAATTTTAGTTATTAATTACTGTTGTGATGCGCTTTTGAATATTTTATAGAAAAGACGCAATACAAATAATAAATGTTATTGTTATTGTGTTCCTTAGGTTTTGTTTCGATTGAGAAGATATATCAAACACTTGAGATAGTCTTTCATCGGCTATCCAAACACCTTGCATTTTGTCAAATACTCCACTGCGTGTTGTATTTTCAACTTTCTTCTCAGTATTTGGGTATCCCGATGAAACACTGTCTCTTGTGTTTGATATATTACTTCTCACTCCGGATATATTTATGATGGAGACTTAACTGACTCAGGCAAAAAGGGCATGCCGATGGGTGGCTGGTTTTTCCAACCTGATACATAAGGTGCTAAAGTGATCACAAGTTCAAAGGTCACAGAAGAGGTTGCTTGAGATAATGTCAACATATTTTACAATCCATACTTTTTGGTCTGAGTCCATGAAATCTCTGACTAGCAATAAAGACTAGTGTTTTCAAAGGAAGCCACAGTAGCCATATTGGTGTTGCAAAACAATCAAATGGCCTCCATGTTGGTGTACCAAACCAATCCTGTAGGAGTGGAACTCTTCTTATTTAAACAATTTCTTTTGTTCCAACAAATCTGAATGGCTGCTGGCCACATGAGTGAAAGTGCTCTATAGTACATGTACAATGGTTCACTTTAAAAATAAATCAGTCACAATTAAGTGAGCCATTAGGCTCTTATGCAGTAATACAATCAAACTCCTATGGGCAGAGACCACTCCCCTGGGAGGCAATGAGATTGACGATTTGAGACACATCTTTTTAGAAATATATTTCTAATCAGCTTTTACAAGCTTTTACAATGAGTGCCTGCTTAGAGGAGGTTGAACTGTGTTACAAAATTTCTACCAAATGTGCGGTGTATTGCTCAGCAATTCCTCCCGAGCTGGTTTCTGTAAGGAACTAAAGAAGTAATTTTTTTGCCTGTCTCTTCAGTGTAAAGTAGTAAAAAACAGATGTCAATAACAACTGAAAACCGCTGTTTTAATCACGGGTACAACATTGTTTGTGTCTTGAATGCTGATGCCATTGCTGCCTTGGCATCTTGTCCAGTCATACTGAGTCCATTAGTAGGTCCTGGTGTGCCATCTCCACGCAAAACTGCAATACACTTCCAGTTGTTAAGGTAGTTTGCTGAAATCAAATACAAACAAGGCATTTCACTTATTAGCATCTTAGTACGCATGCCTTGCCCAAAAACACTGTACAAGCACATTGACTGCTGCTTTAACACACAACCTCTTGCTATGGAGTGCAACTTACTGACAGACTGTGGCTGAAGCTGGTAGTTTTAAAAAGTTTAAGAACAGACTTGAGCATCTTTATAACTTAGTCTCTTAGCTATTTTAATGAATATTTTATTGTATAATTATACTAGATAAATAGATATTTTTAATTCTGATCCTTTTCTTTTAAGGTGAATCAACAGGGGCAAGCCTCTGTTTCTTCCTTCTCAAGATGTATTTTACTTTGTTTTTATCATTGCATCTTGAATAAAACATGTTGTGTGCAGACAATAACACTCTGTGCCTTCTTTCCCTAGTTTTCAGTTTTACCTTTCCATAATCGTACACATCCATCATCCCCAGATGAAGCCAGAATAGTACCAGTCACATTCCACTCGACCCGCCAAACCTACAACATAATTATTTACTAAATGTTAAAGGTGTGCTCGTGTTGATCATATTAAATTAGGTGAGGCAATCCTAACAGCCAAGACTGTGGGGTTACTTTCTGTAAATATTGTTACAACAAAATTAAGAAAATTAATACAACAACAACAACAACAACAACAACAATCTTTATTTTGTGCCCAGAAAAATTTTACAATAAAAATAAATACATGCAATGTGAAAAAATAACAATGAAAAACAGAGCACAGCCACTTAGAAATAGCTATGGCTAATCGAGCTAAGTGGCTGGGCCAAACGGAAAAAATATTGCAATGAAGTTACAGAATATATGGGAAAAAAAACAAAACAAAAAAAAAACAGGACACTATCTCATTCACATACATACAGAGAACGAAAAAAGAAAAAAATGAATGTGCACACAAAAAAATGAAAAATTAAAGTACATCAATGTACCAGTCAGTATTTGGAGATAATAATAATAATACACAAAGAAAGTTCATTAAATACATGTATTAGATTATTTACATTTATTTAGTAGTTGATTAACATCATGCACGCTGATGCATGGTTGAATTTACCAACCAGATAAATAAGGTGCTAAAAAGTGATCACATGGCTAAAGATCACATGTCCAGAACAAGATAGAAGAGGCTGCTTGAGAAATATTTTACAATTCATACTTTTTGGGCTGAATCCTTGAATCTGATGATATTGGGAAAACTATACTATACCCTCAGTCCTGAGTACAGCCCTCGACCGTATGAGATAACATCTACAGGGCTTAAAGAGTTTTGCAAATATATTAATAATAATGATCCAAATCTCACCTGGGACTCGTGGTCACTGAATTGGGCTGCCAAGCTGTTTTCAAGTTTGGCAAAATTTCCTCCTGTCCCTGTTCCTTGCTCTCTGTGAGATCAAAATAACCAGAATCAATGGTGATGATGAAGAACAGTATTAGAGTGAGTTACACAAAACACTTTACAGTAGGTTTCTGGACACCAATAGGCCCTTAGTTGCTAGGCCATCATGTGGCCTACTTTTCATAAAATTATGGGCTGTAACTTTAAGAATGTCAGAAATGGAAAAAGCATGTTGGAAATATCAAAATGGCCATGTTTGAGGCCCTGGCATTAAAGGATGAGATTTTATGATGGTTTGCAATTCCCCAAAAAATATTGGAACTGTCGTATAAACTTACTCTTTAATGCCAGGGTCCTCAAACTTGGCCATTTTGGCATTTTCAATATGCTCTTTCCATTTCTGGCATTCTTAATTAAGTTACAGCCCATGTTATAAATAGGGGTAAGGACGTTTTGTACAACACAATGTAATTTCAATTCAGTCTGTCTTGCTAGCTATTGTAATTGCATTTCTTAGAGCTTCAACAAATGACATACAATTGAGTTTCAAGCCACTTGTGATTCTTCTGTAGTTGTGGTAAATCTTAATGAATAATGTGCTGACCCTTTATGTGCTTCCTAACCAAAAGAATATACTTTTGTAGGGTGTAATAATAGTTGCTATCAACACCATTGTGTGGTAAGTAACATGCATCCTGAACTGAGTTTCTCACTGTACTTGAGCACATATAAATCAATCTTACCCATATGGTTTGAGCATCATTATACGAACATCCTTGGAAGCAATAGCCAAAAGATGATAAGATCTAACAGCCAAGTACAGAGAAATAATTAAACAATAAATTGATATTTAATAAAACAGATTACAGTAACTCTTACTGGTAAATTATTGTCAATTATTATTATTTTTTTTTACATTCAAGAGCACAATTATACTAAGGAACTAAATTTACCTTCCTAGATTTGGGGCAAAAGCAACATCATGTACAGCATCTGTTATTGCCATAAGCGTTTCAAGTCTTTGCCACTTTCTGTGGGTAGTGAAAACCAACTTTCAATTCAGTCAAAAAATTATGTAAATGACTGTATTCCAGGGGTTTCATAAACGTTTTCAGAAGGAGGGCAAATGGTTTTCACTGATGGGCAAAACCTTTTGAACCGAACTTCTTTATTTATAAATACAACTTCCCTCCACATAGTCAAACCAGGCACCAGGCAAAATCATCCAACCAACCCAACAATTTGCCCAGTGCCCAGCCCTTAATGAAACCCCTGGTATTCAGAAAGCATACATGTACATATACACATCCACTAAATCGACAAGCTTTAGTTTAAAGGCACAGACCTGCTTGCTTCATTGTATTCATGTATTTGAACTTTGCCCCCAGCACTTGTGTTTGGATCATCACTACCTACAGCCAGCATTGGTGCATGCACTCTAAATAAGGATAGAATTATTATAATTAGAGGCATTGTACTCCAGATGTAATATTACACTTCTAGGAGAAGAGGGTAAAAGTGGGGCTCATTACATGGAGTGCAATAACAAGCATTATTAGATATTAATTTTCTTCAATTAAAAGAAATTCTTTTGGTACCTTGATAAGTTCCATGATACACAGCTACAACTTAATTTATGTTGGATTTCATTCTACAAGAAAGGAGAATAAGATCTTTTGTTATGTTGAATATAATGAAATTTACTTATAACTATATATTACAGTCAAACATACAAAACCGTGAGCACCTAAAATATGCCTATTTACTAAATTAAAATGTTCTCTCAGAGCGCAGCTTTGACACACTGGCATTGCCAATGTTTTTTGTGATTAATGTGATAAGCAGTACAGTAAAAACTTGCACAAAAGAACACGTTTTGGGGGTTCAGACTGATTTTGTTCTTATATATCGGGTGTTTTCTGCAAAATCAGCCTGGAAATGTTCTTAAGGTGTTCTTAAATACTGCATAGACTACCAACAGATTAGATCAATGTGCAAGCACAACATTTTAATTAATTAATGGATAACACATATATTGATCTACTCAGTACTGTACTTAGTAACCTAGTAGGTTATTCTAATCTAACTGGCAGTCAAGTTTTTATATAGAACAATTTTCATTTTTCAGGCTGAATGTGTTCTTATGTATATGGTACCTTCTTGACAAAATTTCAGCCTGAGTGTACTTAATCCACTTGTTCTTTTATGCGGGTTTTTACTGTAAATCATTTTTTCAAAGCAGCAACCACTCACTTGTAATAGCCAATGACTTAAATTCATGATATCAGGAGCTTCATAAATTCTTACAGTACCATCCTTTGAACATGTGGCCTGGAAAAATGTGAAACCAAATTGACATTAATTTTACATATTAAGATTAATTACACCCTAATTAAAAATTCTAATAACTAAGGTTTTTGATAAACAATTAAAAATAAAAAGCAGTGATATTAAAGAATGATGTTTCGACGGCTCCATGCCATCATTCTCAAATTCAAATAAGGTACGTTATGTGAGTTCGTTATATAGTGAATGTACGTGTGAAGGTCTCAGTGCAGATGATTAAGATATAAAAATAATCGATGAATAAAAATAAAAATACCAAGCNGATTGTAAATTGGTCACAGAGATCTTTGTTCCTCAGATTGTGTACATCTCGCAGGTGTTTACCAATGACAGAATGCTTATGCTCATTAATGCGCTGAAATAGGTGTCGGCATGTATAGCCTACATAATCTGCATCGCACTGATCACATTTGTATTCATAAACAACGCATAAACAACGCTTGGGTTCTGTCACTTTGATTTCTTCAGCAATTTTCTTGCTCGTAAACACTGGGCGCAGGTCACTGTTAATTTTCTTCGCAAGATCAGAGAGCTGTCTTCGTACTAAGTCGGCTGATCGCTGATCTTTAAAGGGAAGAATAATCCAAACGGGCTTATTAACTTGAACATCAAGTGTTTGTTCTCTCTCTCTCCTTTTTTTTTGTGTTTGTTCTCGGTCTTGCGACTCAATGAATCTGGTGATTGTACAGTTAATGAGTCTCTCAGGCTACTTAAGCTTCATCAAAAGCAAAAAACCAACACTTAACACTCAATCTGACTCCGTTAAAGCAAAAATTTTTATTTGACAGTTCAAGTGCACCACGCTTGGTATTTTATTTTTATTCATCAATTATTTTTATCTCTTAATCATATGCACTGAGACCTTCACACGTACATTCAATATATAACGAACTCACATGACGTATCTTATTTGAATTTGAGAATGATGGCATGGAGCCATCGAAACATCATTCTTTAATATCGCTGCTTTTTATTCCTAATTAAAAATCCCTTAGTAAGAGCAATTGCAATATCAGAAATGGCAAAAGCCTGACAAAATGCAAGGAAACATTCAGTGCATGATGCCTTACCAGTTGTAATCCTAAATGTTTTGGAGCAAACTTGACATCTGTTACAGAAGTCCTACTATCTACAAGTGAGGTTCTTTTAACCTAGTAATATTAAATGAAAAGTCAGTAAGGCCTCTTGGAATAATCATATTAAATAAAAATATTTAAGGAAAGTTAATAAAATGAAATATTGCACAGTCATGTTTAAAAAGCAATGAATGTAAAGCATACCATCTATATGTATATGTAGATCTTATTTTAATTTTAACAACCAGTAATTGAAATTTTATCGAAAGGTCAATTACAAGTCAGAGGAGAGATAACAGTAGACGGAGAAAATAGGATGAAAATTTTAATTAGTATGCACTAGTAACTTCAGTTTGTTAAATAAGTGCATCTGATATCATGGACTTACCCAATGGCTTTGACCTTGTGATATACCATCACCAGACCCTACAACTGAAAGGGAATTAAATTTTTGTAATAAGTTTGACCTATTAATGTATTTTTACAACTAGTAAACATACCCTATGAACAACTGCAATGTTAAACTGAATAAAGATAGAAATATATATACTTATTATTGGTAAGTAAATACATGTATTGTAATAATATATTATTGCACTATACTCTAGGTAGCATGCAGCAAGAAGTGTAATCTTTCTATTATTTTTTAGTGATAATAATATTGTATTGTAATTAGTGTACTTGTGTTATGTTCTCCAGTGTCTGTTTTGTGAATAATTATACAAAAAATATTATTGCAACAATGATTAGGAGTTCCACAATAAAGTAAGTCATGTTCGTTTATAATACCTTGCTCTTCCCATACTGCAGCAGTTCTATCAAAAGAGCAAGAAGCTAACACCTGGCCAAATTCTGGATGTGCCCAAGTTACTTTCCACACTGACCCTGAGTGAGTCTGAGCAATACAAATTACATAGTCTCAATCAATCAATCAATCAATCAATCAATCAATCAATCAATCAATCAATCAATCAATCAATCAATCAATCAATC